TTAGTTGCTCAGGTCCTTTTAGTGTCATTTAGATGCATGGAAAGGCAGTTTCTATAGCCATTCTGTGAATGTATGAAGACCAGAGGTTAAGAGGTCTGTAAGGAATGCGGTCATCTCTTTGACCATTTAATCTTGATTACTTGCCCTAAAATTGACAATCTCCTTCCAGAGTTGTTATGATCAGTGTGTTCCTTTTGTGTTAATGTTGAAAGCTGTTCTGTGAAAGAGTTGGTTAGGCTTGCTTCAGACTGGCTAGGGTCTGATTTATGAGCATCCTGTTGTCTTGGGCCTCTGTGGAATTTGGGCTCCTCAGGTTTCAACCATGTTTTGACCAAATCTTAGATTGTCTGATTCGGTCTGATATCCTACAGATAAATTGAAGACATATAAACTAATCTAACACAAACACACACATTCACACAAGTTGCAGAAAGAGAGAAAGTGAGGAAATAATGAGTTTAAGAGAATGAAAATGTGAAATCCCAAGTTTACAGCAATATGTACAATTGCAAAGATCTGAAAAACCATCAATCACTTAATTAACCCTCGCATTGAGTTCCTCAATGAGGTTAAAATTTATATTAAATGCACCAGTTCAGCTAGGATCTGGAGGTACTTGCGTTGCATTGCCTGTACGGGGGTTCCCTTTGTTGTGGTCCCTGCAGAACAGGGGGTTTCCCGTGGTCGCTGATTGGCTGGAAGTTCAGTCTTGGGGAAGCCAGTGGTTGGGCGTTGGCTGATGACTCGGAGCTGTGGTCTGAAGTTGAAGTTTAGACGGCACTCTTTCGGAGACACGGCGTTGGGCAAAACTTAACTCGGAACACACGAAACTCTCAACGGAAAATAAAATAAAGTAAAGAAATAGAAGTAAAGTTTGACGAGACTAGGTGACGTTTCTTCTCATGGTTTTGGAGGAGCTGGCGTGTAAGCCAGAGCATGCTCAAAGAGCGCAAAAAAGGTGATGACTGAAAAGCAAGCACGGCTCGAAAAGGCAAGAAAGAAGGCTTGAAGAGATTTGATGGTGTCCTGAGTATTTAAACTGGGCTTATGGACACCTCCCAAATGGTGTTTTGACCAATTAGTTATCGTCTTTGCTCGGGGTGTTGTATAGCCTTGAGGTACTCCATACTGCACTTGTGATCAATATGATACCTCTTCATTCACAGCTACGAATTGATGGCGGTCAGATAAGTGACGTGAGGTCAAGTATGGAGACCCATACTTGGAATTAGTGCTCTGCATTTACCCATCCGAAGTGCGCACACACACAGCAGTGAACACACACCCGGAGCAGTGGGCAGCCAGTTGGGGGTTTGGTGCCTCAGTCATGGTATTGAAGGTGTACATTCACTCCCCCCACCTACAATCCCTGCCGGTACGAGACTTGAACCCACAACCTTTGGGTTATGAGTCCGACTCGCTAACCATTAGGCCACGACTTCCCATAAGTAAGAGTTGAACCATGCTAATGCACTTCCACTAATGCCAACAAAGTTTTCTAGTCTATTCAAATGAATGTTGTGGTCGATAGTGTTGAACGCAGTGCTAAGATCCAGTAGCACTAATAGAGAGATACAACCATGATCAGATGATAAGATAAGAGCAGGTCAAAAGAAAACTAAACAAAAGGAAAAAATCAACCCTTGTTAAATGTACTGTGTTGAGCTAAATGAGACATGTTATAGCACTTGCATATCATTGCTCTTTTGCTGATTTTGATTGCTTCCATTGTCCTCATTTGTAAGTCGCTTTGGATAAAACCGTATGCTCTAAATGTAAATGTACATGCATGTAATTTGTAACTAATGAGAGCAGTCTCAGTACTATGATACGGTCTAAATCCTGACTGGAATACTACCTTGAAACAGAAAAGGTAGATTCAAGGTTGGTCTGTAATTAACTAGTTCTTCGGGGTCAAGTTCTGGTTTTTTTTTTTTTTTTGAATGAGAGGCTTAATAACAGCCAGTTTGAAGGTTTTGGGGACATATCCTAATGATAATGACAAATTAATAATAGTTAGAAGAGGATCTATGACTTCTGGAAGCACTTCTTTAAGGAGCTTAGATGGAGTAGGGTCTAACGTACATGTTGTTGGTTTAGATGATTTAACAAGTTTATACAATTCTTCCTCTCCTATAGTAGAGAATGAGTGGAATTGTTCCTCAGTGGATCTATAGATGCAATACTGTAGCTGACGGCTGCATGGTTACAATTGTATCTCTAATAGTATCGAATAGTCTCATTTTTCAGTTTTATTTCTCATCAAAACAGAACAACTTTATGCAGGAAATATTAAACATTAACATATAGCTGGTATTATTATCAGAAATTGATTAGAATATACAACTAATTTTACAATACAAGCCTCTATTATTATGTTGCTCTATATTGGAATAAAATTTAAAGCTTACCATGCATCATCTTGGAAATAAAGCTTCTTTTCTTTAAGTCTGTACTGTATATTGTCAGCGTTATTTCTCTGAATGATGTTACGATGTATTTATTTATGTTCTGATTGAGCAACATCTATTTCAGACGTGCACATTTTATGGCATTTTACTAGCATTACAGTTTCCATAGAAGTGAAATGTTATGCATTTATGTTGAATTAATTATTAGGCAATGGCAAAGTTTATTTATGTAGCATACAGTGGATACGGAAAGTATTCAGACCCCCTTATATTTTTCACTCTTTGTTATATTGCAGCCATTTGCTAAAATCATTTAAGTTAATTTTTTTTCCTCATTAATGTACACACAGCACCCCATATTGACAGAAATACACAGAATTGTTGACATTTTTGCAGATTTATTAAAAAAGAAAAACTGAAATATCACATGGTCCTAAGTATTCAGACCCTTTGCTCAGTATTTAGTAGAAGCACCCTTTTGATCTAATACAGCCATGAGTCTTTTTGGGAAAGATGCAACAAGTTTTTTACACCTGGATTTGGGGATCCTCTGCCATTCCTCCTTGCAGATCCTCTCCAGTTATGTCAGGTTGGATGGTAAACGTTGGTGGACAGCCATTTTTAGGTCTCTCCAGAGATGCTCAATTGGGTTTAAATCAGGGCTCTGGCTGGGCCATTCAAGAACAGTCACAGAGTTGTTGTGAAGCCACTCCTTCGTTATTTTAGCTGTGTGCTTAGGGTCATTGTCTTGTTGGAAGGTAAACCTTCAGCCCAGTTGAACCATGCTAATGCACTTCCACTAATGCCAACAAAGTTTTCTAGTCTATTCAAATGAATGTTGTGGTCGATAGTGTTGAACGCAGTGCTAAGATCCAGTAGCACTAATAGAGAGATACAACCATGATCAGATGATAAGATAAGAGCAGGTCAAAAGAAAACTGGAAAAAATCAAAAAATCAACCCTTGTTAAATGTACTGTGTTGAGCTAAATGAGACATGTTATAGCACTTGCATATCATTGCTGATTTTGAGATTTTGATTGCTTCCATTGTCCTCATTTGTAAGTCGCTTTGGATAAAACCGTATGCTACATGACTAAATGTAAATGCATGTAATTTGTAACTAATGAGAGCAGTCTCAGTACTATGATACGGTCTAAATCCTGACTGGAATACTACCTTGAAACAGAAAAGGTAGATTCAAGGTTGGTCTGTAATTAACTAGTTCTTCGGGGTCAAGTTCTGGTTTTTTTTTTTTTTTTTGAATGAGAGGCTTAATAACAGCCAGTTTGAAGGTTTTGGGGACATATCCTAATGATAATGACAAATTAATAATAGTTAGAAGAGGATCTATGACTTCTGGAAGCACTTCTTTAAGGAGCTTAGATGGAGTAGGGTCTAACGTACATGTTGTTGGTTTAGATGATTTAACAAGTTTATACAATTCTTCCTCTCCTATAGTAGAGAATGAGTGGAATTGTTCCTCAGTGGATCTATAGATGCAATACTGTAGCTGACGGCTGCATGGTTACAATTGTATCTCTAATAGTATCGAATAGTCTCATTTTTCAGTTTTATTTCTCATCAAAACAAAACAACTTTATGCAGGAAATATTAAACATTAACATATAGCTGGTATTATTATCAGAAATTGATTAGAATATACAACTAATTTTACAATACAAGCCTCTATTATTATGTTGCTCTATATTGGAATAAAATTTAAAGCTTACCATGCATCATCTTGGAAATAAAGCTTCTTGTCTTTAAGTCTGTACTGTATATTGTCAGTGTTATTTCTCTGAATGATGTTATGATGTGTGTATTTATTTATGTTCTGATTG